TATAGGATATTTTGGTAACACAGAGCATAACTAAATACACCTGATGTTCACAAAACCCAGCGGCACTAGCATTTTCCTTAAGAAAGGCCATTCCATACGACCATAGGCATTTGTCATATCCAACTTAAGGGCCCCCAGCCAACCACCCCCACACTGGTTCCAATTAAGATAATGGCCTACTTCGGCTGCCACAAGTAGACCTGACAATTCATGTATACGGGTTCGTTAACGGGTCAACACGATAACGACACGAACACGATAAGGCTAAACACGGACACAACACGTTAAAGTTAACGGGTTCAGAATTTTAAGACGAACACGAACACGATTTGTTAAAGGGTTAAACGGATTGACACGATAGACACGTTTTGTTAACAGGTTTTGGATCGTGTCGACACGATATGACCCGAAACCCATTTAAAACTAGCTAAACCAATTAATATATTTTTAAAAAAAAAACTAAAATTTAAAGTTAAGTTATATAAAATAATAATAAAAAAAGAAATAAAACATACAATTCAATTCATCAAACAAACTAAAAAAATATTCAATTTATAACATTCATAAAATAATAAAATAACATCCAAAAATCATAATTAAAGAAGTCAATGCTAGTTGTTAGAATAAAATTAAACACAACAAAAATCAAATTCCAAATTGTTGAACATCAATAGTTGGTGTAGGATCTTGGTCTAATGTTGTAAATTCATCCTTAGTCATGTTCATGATATCTTTTGTAATCTCGTTCATGACAATGGTTCTTAGCGGGTCATAAACAGGTTTGTGTAAACGGGTTCGTGTAACGGGTTAACACGATAATATTAACGGGTAAAACTGGTTCTTAATAGGTTTAACGGGTTGACCCGTTAAGACACGAAACATAACGGGTCAACCCGTTAACAACCCGGGACACATTAAGACTAAACACTAACCTGTTATTTTCGTGTTGTGTTAACGGGTCGTGTCCATAATTGCCAGGTCTAGCCACAAGTATATTGTCAGTGATGAGCCTGTCTGGGATAAAAGCACTCTGGGTTTCAGAGATTAAATCTCCCTAGAAGAGGCTTCATTCTGTTTGCAATCATCTTTGTCATAATCTTATAACCCACATTGCACAAGGCAATTGGCCTAAGATCTGACACGTACTCAGGCACACTTTTCTTTGGGATAAGAACTACATTTGTATCATTGAGCCCCTCTAGGAAAGAACATGTATTAAGACAATTAATCACAAAAGCAGACACATCTCCCCCTACCACATCCTAAAAGTGTTCATAGAACCCCAGATTCATTCCATCGGGACCAGGTGCATTGTCAGGTAACATAGAAAAGAGAGCAAATTTTACCTCATCAACTATAAACGGGCGCAGAAGGGCATCATTTCCCCCTTGAGAAACCCGACGAGTCACAGTATCAAAGAAGGGATCCTCACAAGCAGCATTATTAGAACTAAATATATTGTCCAAATAGCTCAGAATAACATATTTCATTGCATCCCCCTCAACCCAATCACCAGAGTCATTCTTAAGTTTGGAGATAATATTTTTCTTTTAAAGTGTAGAGGCATACCTATGGTAAAACTTAGTGTTGGCGTCTGCCTCCTTTGACCAATGTTGCTTGGCACACTACCTCCAACTTAGGGATCCTCCTGACATGTTTGAGGGTTTAATTACACTTTTTTAAAGTTTAGGTGCCTAATTGATTTTTGGTGTATAGTTTAGGGGCCTATTTGACCCTTTTCTCTTTTTTTTTTATCGAACAAAATTATTCTTACATCATTGTCAGACCTGCGTGCTATAACTACAAAGTTGTTGATCAGAAATACAATTACACATGGACTCTAAACGGTAGGACCATTGTCAAAATTTAATTAATTTAGAATTAGATGCATTTAATTAATTAATTTTTTAATAGACATCTGATTCTAAATTAATTAAATGCATATGTATTATTTTCAGGTGTAGCTACTAATTTATTATTTAATTTAATAAGAGTAATAAAGTGGGGTACTTACTTTTCTTCTTTTATTTCCATTCGTTGTTGAGACAAATTATTTTGGGAGTTTGTCCATGACAATTGCTATAATTGATGTCAATAGATAGATGGTGATAATAAATAATTCGAAATATATGATTATAATAGATATTGTTTTAGATATAGTAAAAATTAACTTACAAATTTCTTTACAAGTTTTCATGCATTGATAAAATTATGAGAATGATGTGTAAACTTGTTCAATTGGAGTCAGTGCGATGTCAACATTGTCAATTTTTTGGAAAATGGTCCTACCATTTTAGAGTCCAGGTGTAGTTGTATTTTTTTATCAACAACTTTGTAGTTATGTCTCGCAGGTCTGACAGTAATGTAAGAACAATTTTGTTTGAAATAATAGTACAATATTTGTAAAGTAATGTTTTAAAAAAAAATAATTGTAAAGTAACGTACAATTGTACCATAATAGAAATACATACAAATAATATCTACTATATCTACTATACTAATAAGAGCCCAAGAGAGTTAGGTCTATAATGGGTAAAAAAAATGGCGGTCAAATTTTTTAATCAAATGAATGGCTCAGATTGATCAGATTTTAATTTTTTTCTTAAGATTTACTAATTTATCCTTAATGAATATGATTTTCCGTTAACTTTTCCGTTAAATATTATATTTTCCGTTAATTTCTGTTAGTTCACTGTTAACTTACTCGTTGATTTAAATAAGAAAGGTCTTAGGTTCGAACCACATCCCAATCAAAGTTGACATAATTAGTACTCTATTTTACTCTTATTAAATTAAAATAATAATTTAGTAGCTACAACAAAAAATAATACATACATATATATATGCATTTCTTTAATTTAGAATTATGTGTCTACAATGTCTTTATTAAAAAAAAACAATTATTCATTATCAATAAATTAAAATTTTTTTTTATGCAAGAAAGTTCCTGATTTATAATCTTTGATACTCAACTTTGAATACTATGTATTAATCTGGCTAATTATTTGACCAAAGTTAATGTTAATTTTTATATTGTATATTTTTAATATATTTTAACATATTCGTAGTATATGTTTAACAATTATACCAACTCTTATTGGGATGAGGTTTGAACCTAAGACCTTTCTTATTGAAATTAAAAGTTAAGAATAATAAATAGTTAACGGAATATTTCGTTACTAAAGTTTATACTAACGAAATGCAAAGTTATTTAAGGGAAACAAATAATATAATTGAAGGTAAATAAAAAAATCATTAAAAAAATACTAAAATCAAAAGAATAACAATCACTCATCATTTCAAAAAACAATTACACCAATATTTTTTGTTGGTTGCCGTTAAGGGCTTAACTTTATTAGCTCAAATGAGATTTATAGATTGTAGACATCTTTGAGTGTAAATATTGCATTCTTCACTATAAATATTACATTTTTAACTTGACCTGATCCGTCACACACACACACAAATATTAAAATAATAAAATCACATCGATAAACTATTTTTGGTAATTTTGGAAATTTACTCTATCAATCATTATGCTATGGACCCGTGTCCAGCATACATTGTGGACACGGAACGGTGCCGTAAGTGGCACCATTATCTTCCACCATTTTTTTTTTTAAATTTCAGACCGCTTCGTTATAGGAGCATATGTTCATAATTTTATCACTATATGTTATCATTGTAAGTTCATAATGTTAGAGCTCTGTGTTCATAATTCCATAAATGTACATTCATAATTCCATAATTGTACATTCATAATTTCGTAACTGTACATTCATAATTCAATAATTGTAAATTCACAATTTTCGAAGCTCTATGTTCATAATTTTATCACTATATGTTCATAATTGTAAGTTCATAATGTCAGAGCTCTGTGTTCATAATTCCATAACTGTACATTCATAATTCGATACCTGTACATTTATAATTTCGTAACTGTACATTCATAATTAAATAACTGTACATTCATAATTTTCAAAACTCTATGTTCACAATTTTAGAGCTCTATATTCATAATTGTAAGTTCATAATGTCAGAGCTCTGTGTTCATGGCAAATGAGTTCTCTTTGTGGGGGAGAATTCCGGGATAACTCGGGTTCAATTCTCACAAGTGACGATTCCCTTTGGGCCAACTTCTGTGCCTCTCGGAGCGAATCGGGTGGACCTGGACCGTTAAACGAACAGAGAAAGACTCGGACCACAATGTGTGATTTACACAAAAAAAAAAAAAAAAAAAAAAAGAGCTCTGTGTTCATAATTCCACAAACGAATAACGTTTTAACGGCGAGACAAAATCAGTTTTTTTTTTTTCTTTTAATTGGAATGCTGTCATTTTTCCTGAAAATGACGTCGTTTTGGACTCGTGTCCACAATGCATAGTGGACACGAGTCCACAACATAATTTGCCTTTACTCTATGATACCAATTATACCCAATCATTATTCTGTGGACCATGGTCCATGCAAGTTGTGTGGACCATAATTTGTCTACTATAAAATAATGTACATTCAGTACAAAAATAATGTACATTGTATTCAGGAAATGTACATTATTTTTGTTCTGAGTGTACATTATATTGTATAATGTATATTCAGTACAAAAGTAATGTATATTTAGTATATTAAAAATATACTTTTTGTTATGATCCACATAACATTGTGTGAATCATGGTCCATACAATAATTTGCCAATCATACCATGAAAATGAAAGCCCGTGAAAACGTAATATGGGCCCCTACAGACAAGCATAGTACATTATTTTTGTTCTGAGTGTACATTATATTGTATAATGTATATTCAGTACAAAAGTAATGTATATTTATTATATTAAAAATATACTTTTTGTTATGATCCACATAACATTGTGTGAATCATGGTCATACAATAATTTGCCAATCATACCATGAAAATGAAAGCCCGTGAAAACGTAGTATGGGCCCCTACAGACAAGCATAGCCCATAACCTCCTTCACTCTAAATCTTACCTTACCTAATCTCTCATTTTCTCCTCCACTAGAGACTAGGGTTTTAGGATTAGGCTCCACATAAAATCCCCAGTCTCTGCCGCTTTGGCTAGGGTTTCCAGTGTTCCTCTCTGCCATTTCTCGTTTTTATTCCCCATGGATTCTTGTAACTAGCCTTTCCTTGATTCTCGAGAATCTCCGGTAAAGCTTCGAGCGGTGATACATATTTCAGTTCTGAAAAGGATTCAGAAATGGCGACGATGAACCCTTTTGACCTTCTGGGTGACGATGACAACGAGGATCCATTGCAGCTCCTTGCTGCTCAGCAGCAGAAGCTGCCTACTCCAGCCTCGGCTCCCAAGAAGACTCCTGGTCAGGCTCCGGCGAAGCCTAACGCCGCCGCCGCCGCCGCCACTGCCAAGTTGCCTTCCAAGCCTCTTCCTCCTTCCCAAGCTGGTAATTCCCGTTGCCGATTGGATGAAGTGTTCAAACAAATCATCTTAATTGGATAAATTCGTATTAATAAGATCCATAGTCAATGCAAAGATTCTGTGTTTATGTATGAGAAACGGATATTTTTAGTGTTTCTACTTCGTTTTAATTGTGTTTATGTATGAGAAACAGATATTTTGTAGTGTTTATACTTCGTTTTAATTGTTTGCACTTTGCAGTAACTCGCTATTATTGTCCTTATAAATGCTAATTGTCTTTAGTATTTACTATTCGTTATCATCTAAAGAAGGCTCGTATGTATGATAATGTTTTTGTGCTTTTTTTTTTTTTTAAATTGAATATGAACTTCTGTCTATATATATTTATGTATGTTACTGAATTCAGTTTGCATCCAAAATTTGAACATTTACAGTTTTATCCATTGCATGCCCTAAAATTCCTGGTTGGTCATGTTTTTGCACTGATGATAGTAAGATGATTTCATTCCTTAATGTGCTGATATATTCTCAACAGTGAGGGAAGCCAAAACTGAACCTCAGCGGGGAGCTGGACGTGGTCAACGTGGAGGTGGACGTGGTGGTCGGGGACGTGGGTTCAATCAAGATTCTACTAACAATGAGAATAATTATGGCAACAACAATGGTTTTGCTGGTGGTTATAGACCATCAGAAGATGGAGAAGGTGGAAAGCCATTTGAAAGGAGAGGAGGCTATGGTGGAGGTTATAGACAATCCGAAGATGGAGAAGGTGGAAAGCCATTTGAAAGGAGAGGAGGCTATGGTGGAGGTTATAGACAATCTGAAGATGGAGAAGGTGGAAAGCCATTTGAAAGGAGAGGAGGCTATGGTGGAGGTTATAGACAATCTGAAGATGGAGAAGGTGGAAAGACCTTTGAAAGGAGAGGAGGCTATGGTGGATCTAGGGGTGGCTTCCGTGGCGATCGCCGTGGTGGTCTAAGCAATGGTGAAAATGCTGATGGGGAATATCCTCGCAGGGCATATGAACGCCGTAGTGGAACAGGGCGTGGGTACGTGCATCATGCTTGAATTTATTATCTTATGGTGCTTTTTATGTCTTACATACTTCTGATATGTTCTAATATGCCCTGTTTTGCAGGAGTGAAATTAAGCGTGAGGGTTCTGGTCGCGGAAACTGGGGAAGTCCTACAGATGAGATTGCTCCGTATGTAATGCAATTTTAGTTTTTCATCTTTATAATTAGGTCCCTGAGTGTGTCATTCTCTCCATGTCCTGATTGGGTTTTTGGATTTGTTTAATGAGCATTAACTCAATTTTTCCTAAAAAGTATATTAACAGTAGGAAATAGAACTTATTTATTTGCAAACTACACTAAAGGTTCTACTTTGCACAAGAAAATGAATTTTAAGTGTAGAAAACTTGCACCAATTCCACACATTTGATTGTTAACTAGGCAGTTTTGAATTTGAAGTTAAAACCATCATAAGCATAAGCAGTAGAGACAAAATTGTCCGAAGCCCATTTTAAAATTATTCCAAAGAAAAAATTGAGCAAAAAAAAGGATTGTACCTCAATTAGTAAACAAACCAAACAAAATGTGGTGGAGGCTGTAATATTGTTCTTATATGATTTTGTTTAAATATGTTTTGTTCTTAATTCAGTGAAGCTGAAGAGCCCATAAATGGAGTTGTTAATGATGGTGTGAACACTGATGCATTTGAGAAGCAACATGGGCAAGAAGATGCTGGAGATGCCAAGAAGGATTCTCCATTGGATGAACCAGAAGTAAAGGAACCTGAGGATAAGGTAACATTTGTATAAGATCAGTCTCTAATAAAGAATTTCTCCATAAAGTAAATAAAGGAAAATTGTTTAATGCATTAGGTTTTACTGTTATCTTCCAAAATATATAGAATTGAAGAAGTTTTAAATCATTTTCCTTGGTATACTAGTTGTTAGAGGCAAAAGTTGAGCAATCTTCCTAGTATATAGAAAATCAATTTTCAATGAAGTATAACACACTGCTTTTATACATAAGCAGTGTCTTCCTATTTGTTAAAATGGTGGGCTTGCCATTTGTTCTCAACGCTCAAGGAAGTTTTTCTACTTTTACTACATTTTGTGCTCTATTCCCCATTCCTCGTATAGAGGGACAAAGCTACTGATTAACATCCTTGCGTGCTTGTGTTGGGAGTCTCATTGTTTGCATTGAGGCTTGTAATAGTTACAGATTCCCAAGAAGAAATAAATGTTACCTAATTGTAATGAAGCATAGTTTTTTATCAATTATTTGATCATGATGACATCATCTGTTTTCTTTCATTTCATTCTGTAAGCTTAAAATACCAGTTTGGGCAGGTTGGTTACCATACCAAATATATGCTTTAGAAACCTTCCCTTGTCTGTAATATAATTTTGAGATCGCAATGTTTACTTCATTGCTTTCATATTTGATTATTTAGATGACATTGTTTTATAAGTTAAATAAACTATACTAATCTGACATGCATGTCCATTTCTTTGACTTGGTAGGAGATGACTCTGGATGAGTATGAGAAATTGTTGGAGGAGAAGAGAAAGGCTATTCTGGCATCAAGGCCTGAGGAAAGAAAGGTTTGCTTAGACAAAGAATTTGAATCCATGGCACTGTTGGCAAATAAGAAGAATGATGATGAGGTCTTTGTTAAGTTGGTGAGATTTCTGAGATCCTCAATCTTTTTCTTTTGGTATATAGAATGCTTCTTGTTGATGGAGGTTTTTGGGATCGTATTGGTGATTGTGTTTAATTGAGCAACTGGCACTCTGGCAGGGATCTGAAAAAGAAGATAAAAAGAAAGAGGCCGGAGAAAAGGTCAAAAAGGTACATTCCTTTCTTACTCCATATTTGTTGTTGTACTTCACTTCACCCATTATTTACACCCTACTTCCTGCCCACAATGTCACTTGATTCAGTAGTCTTTAAAATTTTCAATATGTGGCATTGGCATAAATGCTGTATTTGATTATATTTTTAGACATTTTGCATTTAGACAGTCTCCCCTTAAACCTTAGTGTATAAAAAGCATGTGAATCATGGTTTATTTTACTGGACTGCATTGTATTTTCATATTGTACTAGTTTTTTATACCTTTAATCCTGTCAATTCGGGCACTTTGGTGGTCTGTAACCTTACTAAAATATTGTTTCATCACTGCAGACAAAAAGTATAAACGAATTTCTGAAGCCTGCTGAAGGTGAAACGTACTATCGCCCAGGTGGCCGAGGCAGGGGTCGGGGCCATGGCAGTGGCAGAGGAGGATATGGTGGAAACAATACCAGCAGTTTTGAAACCCCATCAATTGAAGACGTTGGTCAGTTCCCTACCTTGGGGTCAAAGTGAGGGATCAAGCCATTCCTGCCAAGCTCTCAATTTAAGATATCTTCAGGATTCATGTTCCTGTATTATCAGTGTTACAGTAGTGTAAATTTAGAGTTCATCTGGGGGTTCCTTTCCTCAGTAGTATTGTTAAACTACTCAACTCAACATTCATATCCTTGATCTGTTAGGAGTTCAATTTTGATCTGAGTTTGAATTGGAAGCAATTTTGTTTTTGAAATCATGGTTTTATAAGTTTGCTATTGTTGCAAAATGCTTAAAAGTCCAATTTTGCCAATCATGAACAATTCCCCCCTACTGTAATTCTAGTTTATGCTTCCAACACGTAATTGACTTTGCAAAGGCATATGGGGTATTTAACATTATTTCACAACATTTTGGGACCTTTCTGTACAAATGCTGTTTATAATTTTGAATAGAAGAGAAAGAATTTGGTGATTTAAACAAAGTTCTGAAGTAAAAGATAAAAGGCAATAAATGCCAAACAGTATAATACTTCACAAACCACTAAAAACAAAGGAGATCCTCCTAGTTTTACATGCCAAGCAATACAACAAGGAATCTCCCTTCAACTTGAGCAGCAGCCTGATTTTTGGTTGACAGGTTGCCCACGGATCTGCACCGTAGGAGGTCGTGCATTACTCGTTGGTTGAGTTGCCATTCTACAAAACCAAAGTAAGTTCGAGATCCCATTAATATTATTCGATGCTGAAGGAATGTTTGCAGATTTGAAAGTGTCTGTGTCACATTACCTGTCTTTGATTGTGGAGGCCATGGCCATGAAAGCTTGCTCCACATTAGTTGCATTTTTGGCACTTGTCTCCATGAAAGGTATGCCTATTTCATCAGCAAAAGCCTACACCAGAAAACTAATGATGTTATAGTGATGCTGATGAACTTCGTATGCAGGTTCAGATTGTGCCAAATTCTCGGCCAAGAATATGATCTCAAGATGGAAGGTGAAATAAATTCTAATATTACCTTTGCTGTCTCATAGGAAACAACCTTCTGTGCTGTTAGGTCACACTTGTTCCCAACAAGAAGCTTGTTTACACTCTCACTAGCATATCGGTCAATTTCATTCAACCATTGCTTGACATTGTTGAAACTCTCTTGATCAGTCACATCATAAACCACCTGATCCATCAGATCATCAATACCAAAATCATTATATATAGCAAATAAAGTAGAGAAGCATCACTATTGCATATGGAAATGACGATGCTTACAATTATGCCATGAGCCCCACGGTAATAACTGCTGGTAATTGTCCTAAAACGTTCTTGGCCAGCAGTATCCCACTGCATGCACCAAGTGAAGGAGAATAAATATTAGGCTTAAAATCAAACCAAGTGGATAATTTACAAGAAAGCAAGTGATTATGGAGCAAATTGTGTGCGTGTGTGGTGGGGGGTGGGGGGGGGGTGATGGAGGGAGTATCCAGAACATTGTACAAACAACAACCAGGTTCCATTAGTCCAAAAAGACATCTTACAATTTGGAGTTTCATTGTCTTCCCATCCTGCTCCACTGTGCGGATTTTCTACATTAAAAGAATTAGAATGTTAAGACCTACCATTCTAATACCAGGACAATAAGAAAGCATACTTGCATAATTGGGAAATAACTTACAAAGTCCACTCCAATGGTACTGATGTAACTTTCAAGATAGGAATCGTCCTGGAAAACCCAATTAGATAAAATCAAAATAGTAACACATTCTTAGATAAAAAAAATGTTAAGTTGTGCATTTAGCCAACCAAAACTACATAAAAGGAAAATAGAATAGCAATCAGTGAGCTATATCATATAGGCACATGTATGTATTTTGTTGAGTTCATTAATATGGATATTGCTTAAGCTTTGGATATTCATGAATATGGATATTGCTTAGCTTTGGATATTGCTTAACTTATGGATATTGCTTAAGCTTTGGATATTGCTTAGCTTTGGATATTGCTCAACTTATGGATATTGTTTAAGCTTTGGATATTCATGAATATGGATATTGCTTGTGTGTGTGACACACACACACACACACAGATATATATATATATATATATATATATATATATATATATATATATATATATATATATATATATATATATATATATATATATATATATATATATATATATTGTTGTTTCCAACAAGAAATAACCATATCATGAATGTTGACAGTTGATTAACATTTAATAGCTAAAGAAATTAATGTAGGATAGTAGTGCAATCATAATAACCTTAAGACAGTTTGTGCAATTAGAAATCCTCCAGAAAAATTTTGTTTTTCTTGTTTTTGCTTTTTTTTTTTATTTTGTTTTGTTTTTTTTTTTTTTGAAGTGAAAAAAACAGCCTACAATAATTTGTCAAAAATAGCAACCAAACAAACATATTAAAATGGGAAAATGCACTCAAACAACTAATTCAACCAACATGAAAACAGACTGGGAATGAAGAACTTACAGCAAATCTCAGAAGAAGACATGATTTTCCTACACCAGAATCTCCTATAAGCAAAAGCTTAAAAAGGTAGTCACTGCACATAAATACATTTAAAAAATACACTTGAGTTCAAGTCAAAAATAGGCTTAAAATTGCTACTTATTTTAAAACCAAAATTTAGAAGAAGTATAGTTATGTAGGACAATAATTATATTGCGGGTTTCCTTTATCACTCAGGCTTCATTGTGTTGATCCAACACATCATTAAAACATATATGCAAATTTCTTCTGGTATCAAAGGCACTATTTTTTACTATAGCTACCATTAATATTTTTTGCTTTTGCTTGGCCAGCTAATTTGAAGTCTGAATTTTGATCCCCAAATTATGAAAAATCAGAAGCGCTTAGTAAACATTCCAGTGCAAAGTAGAATTGTCATAACTCTTCCGAACCAGTAAATTCAAGATTATGAAAGACATCAACAACAATAAAGGAGAAACCAAACTCTGAAGCTCTCTCAATGAGTATAAATTAGGATAGTAGCAAACACAAGCTTGATGTCTGAACTCGAGGACCACACAGTATACACCTAACTGATCATTGAAGGAAGTTTGATGTGGGGCAAAGCCACTAAATTTGTTACTTTAATATTGATATAAACAAATTGCCATGCACTCCTATGTGCCAGAACACTCACTCACAGGTAGAGGACAACACTGTCAACTTAAAGTGTAGATAGAGTGACAGAAGAACGAACTGCTCATTTGTCATTGCCCCATTGTTTATAGTCAAGGCCAACAACACACCTTAACCAAAAGTTAAACAAAAACTGGAAGCCGAAACAGCCACTAGCTAATTAATAGAGAAATACATGCTGTTGTTTTAAATGCCTAGGCAAAAAGAAAGCTCCAAACTGCACTGCACAAAAAATACTGGCTCAGGGAAAAAGAACTGGTATAAGCTTAAGATTAATATCTGAAGACATGAATTTTAATTTCTCGTGTGGATAAGAATGAAAATGAAGAGGAAAGAAAAAGGGGAAAATGGGAGAGAAAATAATCACCCATCCTATCAAATATTCTGCTCTCCAAATATTGGAAGAAAATACGGAGAAAATTGTCCATTCCTTTTTCAAGACGTATTATGCATGATTAACTAGCTCTTCTCTACTTCTTCCCTACTTCTCAACCGATACCCCATCTCCACTTCTCAATCCCCTCTCTCACTTTCTTCTCATTTTCTGATCCATTTTCCGTTCCCTCCTATTTTCTATACATTCCTTTCTACCCTTCCAAAAGCAACATAGACCAGGCAATATGGGAGGTAACACCAAGTAGTTAAACATGCTTGACCAACAAAAATATCTCCAAAAACTACAGTCACTAACCATCCTGATTGCCAGCTGATCCCAGTGATATTTTTCTCAAATACTGGGAATTCAGTTCTTAAAGTATCAATTTACAGTCAAATACCTAAAATCAAAACAAGTAGTCATCTGATTCCAACTCTGAACTGAGGTTTTTTGTTCTCAAATACCAAAAATTCAGTGTTTCAAATCCCCGTTAAATCATACAAAATTCAACCAAGTTTGCTGCCAGCTTACATATAGAGATCGAAGTTTCTGAGGTTAGCGAAACAAAAATCGAAGGAATATAGTCAAACGGATCAATACCATATATTTAACAGGTTTGCGCAATTAACCTACACAAATCGAGAACAAATCTACAACCAAAAGCCCTCGAATTTCCAGGATATTCACCTAGTGAAACCCCCGCGAAAAAACCTAACACAGATCTATTAGAAACTAATCGAATAAGCATTAAAACTCAAGCTCCTAACAAAAAATTTAGATTACAGAGGATCACTTGACCCGACAGAAGGTTAGATGACTTACTACTCTGGATTCATGGCCGGTGTAAGCTTCGAGATCGGTAGGATGCGACAGAGAGATAAACGTAGCCGGAGAGTTGGACGGAGTTTGAGTTTTCCGGAGAGAGTATTCAACCAGATTTGGAATAGTCGCCGGAAATTAAAATGTGCAAAAATGTGATGTGCACTTCCCTTCTTAAAGACGCCCAGCCTGTAGAAACTTTGAAGTTTCAGGCAATGACGTGGCAACTGCGCTACAAAACTGCCGCGTGTTCCCACTTACAGCCCATTTGCTAAAATTGGCTTTTTCTTGTAGTATAAAATTGAAAATTCTCTTGTCTACATTATCAATCTTCAACAAATTTTAATGTTGAATGTTGACCATGGTGAAGTTGAAGTTCCAACCAATAAAAATTTGTTTAGTTATCCAGATGTTTTGATTTAGGAGAAAGTTTATACATACATTGATTGAAATGAATAAAAGTTGAGAGGAGTATGAGAAATGATTTGTTTTTTTTTTTTTTTTTTTTTGTATTTCACACAAATAAAAATATATTTACTAAAGAAAAGGAAAATTCTATTTGCACCATCCAATTTGGTATTTACACCACCTCTTTAATAGATGTAATAGTTTTATAGGTAGTACAAATAGAAAAGTACTATTTGTACCACCATCATTAAATGTGGACATGTGATCAAAGATTAATATTTAATATCTATTTTTTTGTGAATCAAAATATTAATTATTAAAAAAAAAAAAAGAAAAAAAAAAAAAAGATCATGTCACCTTCTCTAGTGAGAAGGCGAGGGACTGCCTTCTCACCGGAAAAGGCAACTGGGCGGCCTTCTCCACTGAGGCAACTCAGTGGGTCGCTTTTCACCGGAGAAGGCGGCCCAGGTAGGCTTCTACATCAGAGAAGGCAACCCACCTAGTCGGGGTGCCTTCTCACCGGATAAGGCAACTCAAGTAGAAGGCGACCTACTGGGTTGCCTTCTCACCGGAGAAGGTGAGGGCAGGGCCGTATTTTAAGTTTTTGTGGCCCTGTTCTGATAAATAAATGTGGCCCTACAAAATCACAATTTTGAAAATCAATACATGCAAGTTTCGAACCTTTGACCTCCAAGTTAAAATATAATAAATACACATTCTCACCATCTCTTCATGAAACCTTTTAAATTTAGTTGAAAACTTTTAATTTTTATTTCTAAACTAACTATGTAAAAATTAAATATTGGACCTCTAAAATTTGGGGCCCTCTAAAATTGGGGGCCCTGTGCGGTAGCCCAGCTTGCACAGCCTAAAATCCGGCCCTGGGTGAGGGGTTCGTTTTTTTTAATGTATTAATTAATTAAATTTTGAATTAAAAATTATTAATTGCAAGTTTGACCAAGGTGGTGCAAATAGCAAAATGAATCCCCATTTGGCTATTTACACCACCTATGTAATTATTAAAAGTTTTCACTTTTTTTTTTACAATTTCAAGATACTTTATATCCACTCTTGATCAAAATGGTGGTGCAAATAGCAGCACCCTAAGGAAAATACTATTTGCACTCTTTCTTACTCCTAATTTGTACTTCGGCTCTGTTTGGCAAACTTAGCTGAAAAGCTATAAGCTAGGAGCTGAAAACTGAAAAAAGCTCGGAGCTGAAAACGGAAGAGCTGTTAAGCTAACTGTTATGATTGAAAGTGTTTGGTAAAAATAACTTTTGATAAGTTGATAAATGTAGATAGACTAAAAATGACATCTGTATAAAATTTAAATTAGTTTCTTTACATATTAAAATTTAACATTTTGTCTTTAAAAAAAATTATCATTTTGAAATAAAACTATTAGCATAATCATGATCTAGCATCTCATAATGAAGTAGCAATATTGTTGCAAATTTCATAATAATAATAATAATAATAATAATAATAATAATAATAATAATAATAATAATAATAATAATAATAATAATAATAATAATAATATTTGTGGTGAAAGTTGCGGATAAAGGAGAAGATAAAATGATGTTAATTAGGAAAGGGTAAATTAGAGAAAATTTCAATTTTGGTCCACTGACTATTGGAGTTGTGTTAATTGCAACACTTGACTTTCAAAAATATTAATTTAGTACCTTGACTATGCAATTCTTATCAATTTTGATCACACCGGTCAACTGTGACCGGAAAATTTAAAATTAACAATTAGTCTTAAATGGGAGGGGCAAGATCGTCATTTCATGTGACTTTCTTCTTCTTCTTCCATTCCTTGCACCGGCCAGTCGAAATTGCAGCACCACGAACAGTATTCCTCCTGGACGATGATGTACATGTGACTTCTTCCTTGCACCATTTCGAGAATTGCAGGCCGGCGATGAACAATTTAGATAATGACCAGATTTCTCTTTCCACCTTCGCCTTACTTCGAAACAACTAAAACAGCGAAACAATAATGGACTCCTCAACCTCCGGCAAGTACTTGATGGCTTACAAACCAGTATTACTTCCGGCATAGCCGGAGACGAGGCGGATATCCGCCGCCGGCGAACAGCGTTTGGGACCAACAACGTTGTCGTCTCCGAACATCAACCGCCTAGTGCCTGCACCTGGTCTGGGAAGCGCTGAGAAACTCGACGTTTGTTCTCCTTGTTTGTTGCGCCGCGCTTTCTATTGCCATTGGGGTTCGGAGAAATGGGGCTAAACAAGGAATGGAAGAAGAATATTGCATATTCATTTAAAATGAATTTTATTTAATCGGGTTCAAGTTTGATTAAGGTATGATGACTTGAGGCTGTTCTTTTAATATTGCTTGCTTAATGCTAGTACTTTGAACGTCACCGAAAATGGAGAACAACGTCGCCGGAAATGGAGAAGCTCATCGGAGAAGAAAGAAAATGGGTAAAATGACTAATATACCCTTATTTTTTGACCTATTAAATTTTTCTGGTGAGATTTGGCCGGCAATTTGGCCGGCGTGACCAAAATTGATAGAAATTGCATAGTCAAGGTACTAAATTAACATATTTGAAAGTCAAGTGTTGCAATTAACACAACTCCAATAGTCAATGGACCAAAATTGAAATTTTCTCGGGTAAATTATGTCATTTCTTTAAAATAATAATGATAAATATGGAAAAAAAGTTAGGAAGCTAGGAGCTTATTTTGAAACGCTACCTAAGATAGCGTTCCAAAATAAGCTCTTATTGTAAGCTAGGAGCTTATTTTGGGAACATTACCAAACAGAGCTTATAACGTAATTAGTAGCTTAAAATAAGCTATAAGATCCTAAATAAGCTCTGCCAAACAGAGTCTTCCTCTCACAAATTCTTGATGTAGAAACATTTCATGGGACCCACATAATAAAAATAGAGAGTAGGTCCCTCGAGTTTGGTGGTTTCACCACCTATAGTCCCTAACTTTCATAATTACCATCTGTGGTCCTCCGAATTGCAAAATCTGATATGATACCATTATTCTGTTAAATCCTTCCGTCTAAGTCGTCAAAAGAGAGGGTAAATATGTCCTTTGCCATTGTTTGGGAAAGGTAGGAGCGAAACGACACCGTAAAGTTCTTAGGGACAACATTCAAGCCATTCGCCGTGGTAGAGTGAAACTAACGTATCTTCGGTCTTATCTACGAGGAGACTCGCGGCGTCCTCAAGATCTTCCTCGAGAACGTAATCCGCGACGATGTTACCTACACCGCACGCTCGCCGGAAGATAGTCACCGCAATGGACGTTGTGTATGCTCTTAAGAGATAGGGCCGCACTTTGTACGGCTTCGACGGTTAGGGTTTGGCATCGGCGGTGTATATTTTGGTGGTGTTTAGGCCCAGGATTGTGGAGGGTTTGGCCAGGGTTAGATTGGGTGTGCTATTTTGAATCAATCCACAGATCGATTGATTGTTGCAATGTTACTCTGATTTCAATCCAATCAATTTCAGCATTGTCTGCTTCCAGTTTAGAAGAAGACGTTTCGTCTTCTTCCTGACTGGAAGAAGACGGTTGAGCTGCCATGGCATCGTTTATTATTATTATTTTTTTAAGAATTTGTTGTTTATCTCTATACTTACTCTTGATGCCTTAACATTGGATTTCAATCAATGATTAGAAATCACCAACATATATTCCTGAAAATCTAAGGTTCGCTTCATATTTCAGGTGTTGTAGGTCCCAAAATTCTTATGATTCTTTTTGAGAATTGTCGCCCGACAAGCTTAATAGGGATAATTTTACAGTGAAATTACAACTCACATTATATTTTAATAATGACTGTTGTTTTTTTGCTTGACTGAATTGAATGATAATCTACCATGCATTATCTCTTTCAAAAATTGCTGAAAGAAGATTCCTCCTCAAGATTTCCAAATCAATATTAATGGTGTCAATGGATGAAAGTATCTGGGAAAGCCTTTCATAGAGCCCATCCACTTCTCTGTGCAGCCTTTTGATGTTGTTGCATTCTCTTCTTTTAGACAATTTTTTTTTTTAAATAAACGCTGCCATGGAGGTGAGTCCGACGATGGCCGATCGAGATCCTCCAGAGCAGTCGCCTGGTCCTAACATGATGATCACCACTATCAATTTAGCGATCGGCGTCCATCTGCGAACTCTCGCATCGCGATCCAGTCCTCGTCGTTGGGTGCATTTCTGACTATGGGGCCCTGCATGGACGATCGGAGGATGTAGTTCGTGACAGGGATGCAATTAAAGGTTGAAGCCACAACTGAAAATAATGGCAAATGACATATTTAGCCCTTCTTTTGACAGCTTAGAAGGATGATAGCAGGTCAGATTTTACAATTCTAAGGACCACGGATGATAATTACGAAAGTTAGGGACTATAGGTGGTGAAACCACCAAACTCGAGGGACCTTGGTTGGTATTTACTCAAACAATAGACAATCTTTGTTTGTCATGTCATGAAGTAAAAGTGAATGAGTAAAATTTTGGAGTACATGTAGTATAATTCATTCATTAATTTAAAAACCCTATTATGACCTATATTTTTTGTCACAAAAACAAGTTCCAATGGAGTTTTCTTAAAAATGTACAAATTTTTAAAAATGCATGTTTTTGTTCACTCTCTCAACTTTTGTCCATTTCAATCATTAATTCAAAGTTTGTAACCACTATTTGAATGTGTGTTTTAAGTGAACCACAATAAAATAAATTTGCGTTGATTTGAAATCTTGTGCTTAATATGTCAAGGGACGGAAGCAAGTGCATGTTTAGGGGGGCCTTGGCCCCCTCCCCCACCTCAATTTTTTTTTTAATATTATATATGTATTAAATTTTTTTTAAAAAAATATTATATAGAATTTTAAAATTTTGTTGTTTTTTCAAAATATTTAGCTCCCCTCCACTTAATTAATCTTACAGGTAAAGTTATAAATTTCTTCATCTTCTTAACTTTTTCTGTTCTCTCCTATTTCAAATTATGTATTCCCTATATTGTTGACTCACATTCAAATTAAACCTCATTTAACCTACTTACTAGTTTCTCTCTCTAGAACCATGCATATATGCAACATATACGTTATAATAAGATAATTTGTCATTAACAAAATTTATGCATATTTTTCAAGTTAATTTTTGTTTCTAACTACTTGTTTGGTTAATTTTTGTTTTATATTCTATTGTTTATCTTAAATAATTGTTTTGTTTGATTCTAAATCATGGATATCAAGGTACATTTGTTTGGTTAATTATGTAAATTTGTGGTTTGTGTGATAAATTTTGTATTTAATTTAAAATGCATAATAATGCAACAATTGTGTAGTATATGTATTTGAGAAAACAATTGCTATTATGTTATATTGTGAAGAGGGTTGCCAAGAAATAATCAATAGTCTTTTAAAACATGCGTGAATGTTTTCATTCTTTCAACCGTACAAAACCATGTGCATTGAAAAACATATTGCAAAATAATTTAATATAGATTCAATTATAAATGATTTATTCTAAATTTTATTGAATTTGTAATGTAATAATTATTTTGAGATATGTTAATGAGATATTAATGTATTTGATTTAGTACTTCAATCGTAGTTGGCCCCCGCACTATTTCGTCCTGGCTCCGTCCCTGAACATGTCTAATTAATTTGGTGTTGTTATTATGATTTACTCAGAAAATACACACCAAGTAAAATATGCCTTATGATGGACTTATATCAATAAGGCAATAGAAATTTCATGGAAAGTCCGAATCAAAATTGAATCTTTCTGATTATAAGTCAATTATGATTAAAAAAAAAAACAAACTATAAATCTAACCAAAAACGCAGGGTCATAAGTCATAACTTCCGCTTGAGGTCATAAACCCAGTACATTTCTCGGCTTGATTCCCGCCGGCGCGATCATGTACCGGTCTTCGAGCTCCGGCCGGCTCTCTCAGTCTTCCCCACGCTCGTCTCTATTGCCTGCACGTTCCTCTCCGAATCTCAAATTAACGTTAGCCGGCGAGCTGCCCACGTACAACCCCCGATCTTATCTCTCCACGAAAGAGAGAGACCGGCTAAGATTTGCGGAGAACGCCGTCCATCTCATCCCACTCATACTCGTCTTGTCTGTTATCGTATTGTGGCTTTTCTCTGATCCAGGTATCCAGATTTTTCATCAATTTCAACGCCCCTCTTGCTTGATTATTATTCCATTCCATCAAATTAGTGTTGTGTATATATGGCTAGATATATGAAGTTCTTGTCAGTTTGGAGGGCTTATTTTAGAGTAAATATGTGATGTATTGTGAGAGGAAATACTGGTCTTCAACTAGACTGAGAGTCGTGGAAGCTTAAATTAATTTATTTGTGTGTGCGCACTTGAAATGGTAAAGTCTTTTGCTTTGGTATGATACTATGATCAAGTAGCTTTGAATTCGATAAAGGCTTAATGTTGATCCATGCTTTATTTATAATTAAAATGGAGCAAGGTCTTGATCATTACTGGGAAGTATTTACAATAAAGAAATTGACGATAACAGAGGACTGTGATAAGTTAGAAGTTACTTAGAGGTAGAGACAATGAAAGGGGAGCATTGAAAATTCAGTTTCAACTCTCATGTTTGAAGTCTTCGTATTTTCCTTAAATTCTAACTTGGATTGGCTTAAATTCCTATGCACTTTGCTCACTATTGACCTTGACATATCCTACAATAACAACTAACTACTAACTAGTGATGCACTACACAGTCTTTTATGTGATGTGAGAGCATTTGCTTTGACATGTAATTTTAAAAGTTTGGCTATTGTATTTCAATCTTTAAGCCCAATATTGATTTTGATGCGGATAAGAAATGCCGTATCCAAGAAATAACATTTTTCTTTTGGATGCTTGAGGAAAGGGAAAGGACAAAGAAAAAGGAGTAAAAAAGGGGATAAAAGGCTACTTTGTGGATAACATATTCTTTTCATAATGGTGAAGAAATGAAAGAAAAAAAATGGAATGGAAATCTGACTCATGGCCACCTTTTGCTTCACCTGGCAGCCAAAGCATGCAGTCTATTTGTGGCAGGAAATACAATCTCACTGCTGATGTCACTGTATAAGTGCATGGGGCCATGGGAAATTGTCAAAGGACACTAGAGCATTGTGGACTATTGTATAAAACAAGGCGATTAGCCCATTTCAAAATGTAAATGTATTTAGGTAGCCAACCTGCTTTCATAGTAGAGCGCTAGATTGATTTTATTTTTTTAAAAAAAATAAATTATTTCATATGTAGTAATATTTTTCGTTTGTTTTTGCCTCCAACATCCAAACAAATATGAAGATTTCATATGGTTTGAAGGTTAGTCTTGGTGTGGTGACCAAGTACTTTTGATTGATAGATAATGAGCAGAAACCTAAAAAAGCCTTTCAATAGAGGTAAGGTTGCATACCACTTTCAAACCTGGACCCTACATTTGAAGAACTTCAATATGATTTTTTTTAATTAGTTATAAATTTCAATATGCTTTTTGTTTATTGAACTCGGATCATGCTGAACCGAATTATACTCACTTTCCTTACATAAATAGTAGGTTCATACTTCAAGTTGTCCAATCACTAACTGCTTTTTCATGGTTGCTAAATCAGAATGCTCTGTGATGGAACTTTTGTCTTGTCATAAACTGTGTAACAATGACTGCATTTGGGGTGGGGGTGTTGTTTTGGTGTCTGTTTACTTGAGGCTTTGACCCAACACCTTTCTATAATTGACAGATGCAGTGGGTAAACATAGTGTATATGCTGTTTAAATCTGTAGCCTTTCAAGCACTATCTATTATTTTGCTATTTTGTTCTGGTTGTATTTGTGCTTGAGCATGTGGCCTCTGTCCTGTATTCCAACAATACGGTCTTGGTAATGGCTTGGTCTAAAGAATTTGTCCCTTTATATTGAGTTGCTATTATTTTATTAACCTAACTAAATATGGGCCCGTGCTTATCCCTTGTTATGATTTCTTTCACCCTATCAAATCATGGATATATGCACCATAAAGTGTGAAGCTTTTTTTTTTTTTTTTTTTTTTTTAAAGATTTCATGATAGAACAACTTGCTTTCTTGATTCACTTTTGAACTTTCCGGGCTATATATTTCTACACCTTACTGCAATTCATATGGAAAGTAAATGTGATTCAATTTGTTTCCAGATTCAGTTGTGATGTGAATGATAGTAGATTCAATGGTGCAGTGGAAAGAGCAGATTGTTATCAAAGTTGGAGCTGGAGGACACTGACCATAGATTCAGTAGGTAAGGACTGTGCTGGATGACATAGAGGCCCTACTATGCATTTCGATAGACTTCTTGTTTGTACTCTTTTACTACTTTGCTTCTTATTGAGCTCAAAGGCTTATTACACGGAGGAGTAGTATATGATTCATTGTTATTAAAAACACAATTTTTCTTTTACTTCCTTTGGAAAGTTTTGCCTTTGGGTTTTAGTAGCCAGAAAGAGGCGGGAATCTATATACTCTCTCTGTATCCATCTTTTGTAGTTTGGAAGTCTATGTACAGCTGCAATAATACTAAACCAAATTGAAATTCTGATGCAAAATCTTTACATATACAATGTTTCATGTCTTGTGTTTCTGTATGTAACCATGAAGTATTTGCTTCGATAAAACAGATGGCTTATTGTGTAAATATATAGTTAACTAAATAGCCCAGTTTTCCTACAGAGGCTCACATTCAAAATTTGTATGTTGAAGCATTGGTCCTAGTCTCACCAGCTTAGGTACAATTACATTGTTTCTGATAGAACACACCACTGGATTATCCCACTGCAAGAATGCTCCTACAAGATGTGCGCGTATGGTTAATGGAAAAATACGCGGCCACCTCTCTCTTTCATACTCTCTGAATGCTTCTTCCACAGAAACATTCTTGGACTTGATTGCCCCTGCAAGTTTCTTGGACAAAACTATGGAGTCCTCCAGGGCACAGCAGGCTCCCTGCCCGAGATTGGGTGTCATCGGGTGCCATGCATCGCCAACCAGCACAACCCTCCCGGTAGAAGCAGGAGGACTCGTTGCTGGCCATAGCCAACGATCAACCAAGGGAGTTCTTATGAGCGTTTCATCTGGAGTGTGGTTAATGATGTTTAGCAACTCGGGTGACCAACTTCTGACCAGTTCTTGAGCTTGTTGTCTCAAAATCAATGGATCGGTTATCTTTGGACCTGCCATTAGAGATTTTAAAGCTGTTACTACTGTGTGTATACTAACATAAACTTTGATTGACAGTTTCAACTGCCACAAGCCCAGGAATCAGAACATGATCAGAAAGGGGCTACCCTTATCTGCTAAGATCTGCAGAGAGTTGATACAGGAATGAACTTTTGGATAGTATACAATGTATACCTGGTGATGAGCTGTTGAAGACGATAAACCAATAGATTTTAGTCTTAGAAATTGGAATGAAACCAGCTCGCACTCCTCTTCCATATGTGTATTGTACTTTCTGATCAAAGGACTGTCCCTCGGGGTAAGATCCTAAACCTCGAAAACATAGGTGCCCTGCATATGTTGGCTCCGGGAACCCCATCCACTTTGCCACCGGAGACCGGATGCCATCGCAAGCAATCACTATCTGTCAAGAACACTGGTGCTTAGAACCAGCCTGCCACGCATTCCTAACAGGTATGTTCTAACCCTTTCTACCTAGCTTAACAGAAACTTGCATTGTGTAATACCTTAGCAGATAACCGAGATCCATCCTCGAGCTCCAACAATGTATCACCGCTTTCATGTCTTTCAATCTTTGACAGCCCCGAAGAGAAAGAGATAGTATCTGAAGGCAGCTCATTCATGAGTGATTCCAGCAGTACCTTCCTCTCCACAGCGCGGAGTTCTTGGCTGCTCCAATGTGTAATAGGGATCAAGAAACAGGAAACCCAGGTGAATCTTGGCAGTGAAATATGTAATAAAGAATATCAATCAGAGAGAATCACTACCTTGGGTCCTCTTCCTTTAACGAGAAAGAGCGCAGCAACCTTCCATCTTCTGACCTTATTGCAACCCTGTAAAGCTCATAATATCAACATGTTGCAGTTCTTAACTCAAACTTAGCTACACTCTTTCATTTAATGAGGAAAATCCATAACCACTATTTGAAGGTGTGCATTGTAAACTTCATTTTGTGACCTTAGTTGACAAAGGATCACAAGAAGGTAAATCAGCCTATCCAAGAGTATGCATGGATAAACTCTATCTTGTGCTCCTAGCCATCAAAAGACCCCAAAAGGTAAATTAGCCTATTAGAGAGTGCACAGATAAACTCCGTCTTGTGACCTTAGCTGTAAGGATCATAAGGAGGTAAACCAACTTATCATAACTGACTAGCTTAAACAAAAAAAAAAATAATAATAATAAAAAATCAATAAGTGTGAGAGTTGAAATTGTAATGTTGTGGTTACTGAGTCAATAGAGTTCTTAACTCAAACTCAGTTACACTCTTTCGTGTAATAAGGAAAACTCATAACCACAAATTCAGTTACACTCTTTTGTGTAATAAGAAAACTCATAACCACTATTTGAAGATGTGCATTATAAATTTTGTTTTGTGACCTTAGCTAGTAAAGGACTATAAAAAGGTAAATTAACCTATTCGAAAGACCTCAAGAGGTAAATTAGCCTATTTGAAAGTGCACGGATAAATTTCGTATTGTGACCTTAGCTTCACAAGAAGATAAATCAACCTAAGTTCATTGCACTCTAGAGTCGAAATTGAAATGTTATGATTACCGAATCAATAGTCCGATCAATTTGGTACCTCTTTTGGTGGTAGAGAAAGAGGCTTACCCTTGAATTTCAAGAAAGTGAGGTCTGACACTATTGCCGACTCCAATGGCGTCCAACACCTTCCACCCATTCTTGGACAAGCCGAGAGAGGTCCCACCAGTCCTCAGAGACTCAGCCTGCTCCAACACCCGGGTTCGGATCCCAAGCTTCTGAAGCGAAACTGCAGTTGCAAGCCCAGCAATCCCCGCTCCCACTATAACTATATCCTCCTCTTTCGCATCTAGATTAGCGGCAATCAGAGGACTGGGTTTGGCTCTGATCCCAGTTTGGGGGTGGGAAGACGACGAGAATTTTGTTGTTCGGAGACGAAACGATGTCCGGATTGAGGAATACTTAAGGAGTTGGGTTGAAGAAGTGAAAGCCGCCATGAATGTGCAGTTTGAGTTTGGGGAAGACGAGTGGCGGATAATGAAGAGAGAGAGTGGGATATTTGTATTTGGCGCCACCGCCACCATTAATATATATGTTGGGGGAAATGCAACGGCGGCTGAACTTCTTCTTACGTGTCAACAGCACTTTCTCATTATTTTGACCGATGATAACACAGGCAAGAATATTCAACACAGTACAAATTTGAAGGAGGAAAAACTTAGGGGTCGTTTACTTCATTTCTCTATTTTTTCATTTCTAGTTTTTCATTATTCCATTTCTCCAGTTTTCCTTCTCCATTCTTCCAGTTTTCCATTTCTCCATTCCTCCAATTTTTTATTTTTTTAATTTTCTATTCTATTAAAAACAATCATCCCATACAGTATTTGTATATTTCTACAACAAAGATAATAATAATAATAATAATAATAGTAATAATGATAATAATAATTTAATAATAATAAGAATAGTAATAATTTAATAATAATAATAGTAATAATTAATAATAACACAAATTTTAATAATAAGAATAGTAATAATTTAATAATAATAATAGTAATAATTAATAATAACAACAAAATATTTGTGTATATAAGTAGGAGGAAAAAAGAAAAAGAAAAGAGATAATAATAATAATAATAATAATAATAATAATAATAATAATAATAATAATTTAATAATTTAATAATAATAATAATAGTAATAATGATAATAATAATTTAATAATAATAATAGTAATAATTTAATAATAACAACAACAAATTTGTGTATATAAGTAGGAGGAAAATGAAAAAGAAAAGAGATAATAATAATAATAATAATAATAATAATAATAATAATAATAATAATAATAATAGTAGGAAGATGTGAAGAAGAGGCACGCCATAGTAAAAATAAATAGCAGAGATAAAGTTGAAGCACCAACAGGGTTCGAACCTTGAACTTCTGAATGTAAGCAGCACTGTTCACTCGCGTCTTTTCATTTCTCCATTTGGAGAAACTTGTTTAGAACTTCTCCAAATATCTCCAAATTCCTTAAGGAATGCGGAAAATGGAGATGGAAAATAGTTTTGGAGAAATAAATTTAGTAAACAACATCTCCAATTTTCATTTTTCCACTTCTCAATTTCTCCATTTTTCTGAAAAATTTTCCATTTTTCCAAGTTAGTAAACGACCCCTTATTTTTATAGGAAAATGATACATGATTTGTAGGAAACTAGGAACTAGGGAGTAAACATCTCGGCTGGTAATCTGGTATCATGATTTTATTGATAAAAAATAAATAGAATAATACAAAATGTAGTTCACCAAGTTTTTTTTGGACAAATATATGTCAGAAGTAGGGAGTAAAAAATAAGGTAAAAATTGAGAGTGTGTAGTATACTTTAATTATGCGGTTTACGTTAAAAAGAAAAAAAAAAGTAATTCAATAATTTCGAATTGGGAAACATGCTCAATTAATAATTCGAAAAATGTAGTTCACCAATTTTTTTGGACAAATAGATTTACAAGTTTAAAACAAGAAAAAAAAAAAAGTCACATTGATCACTACTTGGCGAGCACTCTAACACATCTGATGGGTGTGTGAGATGCATGCGCCGATTCGATGCACACATGGGCTTATGCGATGTGTGTGTTTTTTTCTCAACTTCCTTCCTTTCTCTAACAAAAACTAGGGCATTAGAATAATAACTCAAAAATAATCTATCCTCTCTTCTTCAATCTTCATATCAACAAAAATTCACCAACTAGTCAATTTTGAGAAAACCGTGATTGTGTTTGGGAGAACCGTGAGTAGGGAGGATAAGGAGGCTGTTTGTGAAGTGCTTGGGAGTTCATAAACAACAAGGGCATGGGAGATATCTCGGGTTGCTTGGGTTAGTGGGTCGTAGAAAAAGGGAGGTATTGGGCTTCATTCGAAACAAGGTCCGGTCTAGGATTATGCATTGGGGAACCGTTTTCTGTTTAGGGCGGGGAGAGAGGTGCTTTTGAAAATAGTGTTACAAAGTATCCCCAACTACGCGAAGAATGTGTTTTTACTTCCAAAACCCTTTTGCGGGAGATTGAGCGGTTAAGCAATTCCTTTCGGTGGGGGTGTGAGCCGAGAAGGGGTATGGGCATTAGGTGGAGTACGTGGGGGGACCTATGCAAGCCGGAACAGTGTGGGGGTGTGGGGTTTCGGTCGGTACGTGAAATGAATTTGGCCATGTTGGGGAAGCAAGGGTGGAAGTTTATATCAAATCCAAATGCCTTAGTTTCTAGGGTCTTTAAAGCAAAGTACTTTCCAAATTGTTCTTTCTTGGAGGCCCACTTGGGGTCCAGTCCTTCTTTTGTTTGGATGAGTATTAGGGAATCTCAGGGTTTAGTCTGGGAGGGAGCTAGAATGAGGGTGGGGGTTGGCACCTCGGTTAGGATTTGGGGGGGATCCTTGGCTTTCGGATGCTCAGAACCTTATATTTCAACACCGGAGCCTTGGGTATTTGGGCAATCCAAAGGTGTCCTCGCTTTTTAGTACAGATTCTATGGGTTGGGTAGTGACCTCGTGAGGGACATTTTCAACCTGAGAGATGCTCACCTTATTTTGAACTTACCTACCTCTTCTACACACATACTTGACTCGTGGTTTTGGAGGGGGAAATGCATGGGGAGTACTCGGTTAAGAGTGCATACCGGTTGTTAACAAGGGAATGAGGCGGGGGGAGAAAGTGAGTTGGGAGGGAATGTGGTATTTGGAGCTACCCCCTAAGATAAAATGCTTTATGTACCCAACGCCTACCTACTAAAGATGTTTTGGCCATAAAACATGTGGCTTGTGATCCTATATGCCCTATGTGCGGTGAGGAGCCGGAGTCACTTGTTCATATATTCGCAAACTGTTCTTTTGTCCACGCATGGTGGCGCGAATTAGCAGGAAATTGGCAATTGGGTTTTGTGGATGATATTACGCATGTCATAGAGAGTTGTGGAAAGAGCAGCCAAAGGAGATGATAGGCAATATAATTATAATCTGATGGGCTCTATGGAATAACCGGAACCAGATGGTCTTTCATCAGCAGTGTTTGGACCCAAAGACTATGGTGGCTCATGCTTTGCATTATCTTCAAAATTGGCGTGAAGTGCATAAAGGGCAAAAACAGCGTCCTTCGCAGCCTTCTAGAGGTCGTGGTCTTCTTCGATGGCAAAGCCCCATGCATGGGTATGTGAAGATGAATGTGGACGTAGCAATGGACTATGTGCATCACCGAATGGGGTTTGGATGGGTAGCTCGTGACAAATACGGGGTCGTGGTAGGAATGGGGTGGAAAACGATGAGTGGTCTGTTTCTAGTCCGGGAGGCGGAGGTCGTCGAGGTTTGGGAGGCTTTGAGTTGGGTTAAGCGTATGGGGTGGAGTCGGGTGGTGGTGGAGACTGATGCAAAGCTTGTCACAACGGCTGTCCACGGAGGCCTGATCAGTGTTCCCTTTGGTCTAATCATTCATGATATTCATTTACTTTTGGAGCAGCTGGCTCTCGTAAGTTTAAATTTTGTTAGAAGGGATGCGAATATGCTAGCCCATGTTATTGCGAAGAAGTCTTTTGGACAATTTGAGTCAGGGCATAGTTGAATTTTCGAATTGTATTCCCATCTTTATTTCTTGTATTGCCAGTACGGACCTTGTGGTTTAATTAATGAGTTAATACCCAAAATCGTCTTCAACTATAGTGGTTTTTCTCAATTTTGTCCTAAACGATTTTGGTGACTTAATGTAGTCCCAGAGTTTTGTGTTTTTACTCAATTTCGTCCCAGACTTTTGTATTTTTGCTCAATTTAGTCCCTCATTTGTTATTCCGTCCATTTGTTGTTAAATAAATAGACAATTCAGTAATTTTAATATTGACATCTCTTTATTCATAGACATGTGAAGTGCGAAATCCCTCTTTTTTTACGAATTACTCCCAGAATCACTTCTAAAGCTGCGAATATAAATTTTGATTCGTAGGTCTGAGAGTAACTCTGGGTGTAATTCATGTAAGAAAGAGAGATTTTTCACTTCGCAAGTTGAAAGTAAAGAGAGGTCAATATTGATATTATTGAATTGTCCATTTATTTAACATCAATTTGACGGAATAACAAACGGAGGACTAAATTGAGCGAAACACAAAAGTCTGGGACTATATTAAGTCACCAAAGTCGTTTAGGACGAAATTGAGAAAGACCACTATAGTCGATGACAATTTTGGGTATTAACTCTTTAATTAATATATGCGATTTTGGTTTTTTTTTTTTTTTCAAAAAAATTCACTAAAATATCAACAAAAACCTCCAATTAACTGCATTGTTAACTACCTCGCACGCTACACTCTGATCATCGCCAACTGCATTGCTAACTACCTAATCAATCTGCCCACTCAAGTGATCCATCCGAGCAGTCCGTTCTTCCGTCGAATGGCCCGCCACTCACCTGGGCAATTCACCATAGCTGACCGAACCAAGTTGTAGCCCTCTGATCGCCGATGGACAGCTAAGGTGCTTTGACAATGGGCCAAAAGGCACCAAGGCTGCAGACCCTGGAACAGTCTGCCGGCCACCCTTCGGCGGTCCACTTCGGTCTGCTCAGTCCCCACGGGGTTTGCCACTCGCCGGTGGATCGAGATCCGCACAGGGGTCGTTGGTCGATGCTCCCTTGGCCCAAGTCAACCGCTCTTCCCCGCCGCTTGTTTTCCAGATTGTGTTCCATTCGTGCTGCCAAACACTCCCTTAGCCCTCATTCCAAAAAGAAAAGGTCCACATCCCCTTTCCTAATTGGATTCCCCTTGGTCAAGCACAACAAATTATGTTGTGTATCCGTAACCATGCATGGTGCATACACATGCAAAAATGACGTCGTTTTGCATCAAAACGCGCGTCATACTTAAAAGAGAAAATCAGTTTCGATTCCCAGCAACAACATTATGTTATTCATTTTTTAGTCCATTTATTCTAGTTTTTTAGTTATAAAATTCTAGATATATAGTTATGCAATTCTGGATGTATAGTTATGCAATTCTAGATGTGTAGTTATGCAATTCTGGATTTATAGTGAAGTTATGGATGTGTAGTTATGCAATTATGGATGTATAGTTATGAAGTTATGGATGTGTAGTTATGCAATTTTGGATTTATAGTTATGAAATTATGGATGTGTAGTTATGTAATTCTTGATGTATAGTTATGAAATTATGGATGTGATGAAATTATGGATGTGTAGTTATGCAATTCTGATTTTTTTCTTTTAGTTAGACGTTAAAACAACGTCGTTTTTGCATCCATAATGGTGCATACGGTTGCACAGCATAATGCTCCGGTCAAGCACACCTCCCTCACTTTAATTATTCTTTGAGTTTGCCCCTATGGCCCAACACCCACATTCACCAAAGTGTCGGGATCTAAGTTCATAGCTTGTGCAAAACCATTGTTATTGTTGATATCTTGAAATTCAATTGACACATTTTTTTTTTCTTTTATAATATGTTTTAAAACTGTTGGATAAAATTTAATATCTATGTATCACTTATTAGTGATGATTACGACTAGAAAATTGAGACTTGCATTACACAATTTATTTGAAGTAGATTCAATTCATCTCGAAGGTGTTAGGAGAACATTATGCTTCTATTTATCAAAATATAAATACTTACAAGTTACAACATTATATTTGAACAGTTTAATTCACTTTAATCCAATCTGATTTAAATAAATAGTACTCCGTAAAAAATTATTCAAACTAATGTCTCAATACAATCACTCGCATATCAATTTATACAAAATTTCCAACTTGCTCGTGCTTTCGTTAGTTAGTAATTTAATATAGAACCTTCTTGTCATTGCCTAATTTTCTAGAGGGGATGTATATGACTGGTCTTTAGTCAACATGCTTGAAATATATACCATCTGGAAACATCAGAAAGAGTATCAAAGTTTGCTATGCATTTTAATTACTTATCACTACCTATTATATAATTTCATACTAAAAATTCCAATTAGTATAAAATCAAGTTCAATGACATTAACTGGTACTCAAATTAAACATATATAAATGCTATGTTTGGCAAACCTAACTGAAAAGGTAGCTGAAAGCTGAAAAGGAGCGGGAAGCTGAAAAGCTATAATATATTATGCTATGAGCTGAAAACTGAAGAGCTGTTATGCTTGAAAGTGTTTGGTAAAATTAGCTTTTTGATAAAGTTAATAAATGTAAAAAGACAAAAAATAACATCTTCATAAAATTTAAAATAGTTTATTTACGTATTAAAATTTAACATTTTGTCTTTAAAAAAAAAATTAACATTTTGAAATAAAATTATTAGCATAATCATAATCTAACATCTCATAATGGAGTAGCAATATTGTTGCGAATCTCCTTCATATAATAATAATAATAATAATAATAATAATAATAATAATAATAATAATAATAATAATAATAATAATAATAATAATAATAATATTTGCGGTTGTTGGTCCCAGTAGAGTTGTAGCGAGAGTCTAGAGGGGGGGGGGGGGGGGGGGGGTGTGAATAGATTCTTTTCGTGTTTTGCCGAAAAACAACCTTTCGGTGTTTTGGCGCAGCGGAAATGTTAAGTTCGTTTACTTGCTTTGCACGGGTTCTCGTTATTAGGAAACTTTCATGAGAAATGATATGATGCAGGAAATGAATAAAGTAAATGAGAGGATAAGGAGACGAGAGTTTTTATAGTGGTTCGGCCAACTTTGCCTACTCCACTCTTCTTCCACAACTTATGGAAGGATTGCACTATCACTCGTTAGTACAATTACACAAAGACTTCCTTGATCACTAAGCCGGACAGCCTTCGTAGGTTTTTCAACTCCGTGAGTTTACTCCGCCTCTATCAACGTCTTCTTCAGAGTTGAGGTTGGTAGAAAATGATTTCTGATTTCTCCAACGTGATGAAGTCTTGACTGATGAGGAATGTTTGTTTCGTACAAGTTGCAAGACTTCTTTAAGGTGTAAGATGAGTATCAATGAATTTCTTCAAGTATCTTTGCACCTTAACACTGGTTCACAAAAGCTTGAGAGAGCAGAGAGCGTTTAAGAGCTTTTGCTTATAGATAGATCGAGTGATAAGAACCAGCACCTTCTTAGTTGGTGAAGGTGGGTTTATATAGGTGAGGAAAAATTCATCTGTTGGAGGGACGTGAATTTTTAAACCTATTGTCCAGTGGGTAAGGACCGGGGAGCTTCCCGCATTAAATGCTCCATTAATGAGGTTGTACCTTGTAGCCGTTGATGGCATGGAGAGCCTTAGGGTTTTGTCCTTTAGCTTCAGGAAATAGTACATCTTCATTTAATGCTCCTTGGTATGCGTGTCCCACAAGTTGAGGTCCTTTTGTTACTAGGATGTTGTCAAGTCAGACAGTGGAGACATTCTTCTTGCTATTGATGAGAAGGAATGTCTTGAAGGATTGTCATCAATAAGACTGTCCTTTCGTGCTCAATGACAACTCCTGGTAAACTCTCGTTGCAGTTGCTTCATGCTTCGTGTCTTCTTTCGTCTTGATAACCCTAACAACTAAGCATAACTCGTCTTCGTGTGTTTGACTAGCTTAACACGAATTACATGTGAGTTATGGCAACTTTCGTCTAGGACGAAAGCGGCGATTGAAAGTAATAACGGTTAGGGGTCTACTTCCTAGGTTACATTGATATCATCAAAATCCTAATACAAGTGTTCCTAACAATTTCCCCCTTTTTGATGATGCCAAAACCTATACTCTTCTTATAAGGCTGATAAAAGGTTCCATAACGGATTTTCTATTACAAGTCAGCCATACTCGAGAGTTTACAAGTCTTTTCTAGATAAATGCAAATAATAAGTAAGACAAAGACAAGTAACTCAGACAAGTGACACGAGATGTGTAACAACGAGTACTTTATATAAGGATAAAGATCATTACAAAAACTTTTTAAAAAAGACATAAAGAAGAGCATCTTACAGATCTAGAAGATTCGACTTCTGTAGCTTAGCTTCTTTTCGTTCACGAATGTCCCTTTCCTCTTGCTGTTTGAGCATTCTGTCGGTGTCGATCTCCTTGTTGATTCGTTCTCTGAAGATCTTGATTGGATTTGTCTTGACTAGATCTTCGTATTTTCCTCGAATGTTGAGACTTATGTAATTGTTGTAAGCCTCGCGAATGTTGCTCCTGCAATTATTCCAGCCTTCCACCATGAGATGAGTTCGAAGGAATTCATTCCTTCTTTGTAGCTTTTTCCAGACTCGGCATGCACTTTGAAAGCTGCATTGTAGATGACACCATGCTCAGAGTGTTTGGTTACTTTCGTGAGATCTTCAATAAGCTTCTTTACTCTTTCTCTTTCCTCCAGTTCATGCTCTCTCTTTCGGGCTTCTTCTTCGTGTTTCTCCCATAGTTCTCTGTTTTGTCTCTTGATTCTTTCGTTTTGGGTGCTTATGTGATGTTGTCTAGTGTGATTGTCCTTTGTCTTCTTCCAGATAGGGACATTGCAACCCTCAAAACGTTTTCCACTGCCTTCTTCATAAGGTCTGTGCTCCACAAAGTTTCCTACGCCATCCATAGTTACCTTGTTGTCCTTCATGAGTTTCTGCCTTCGGTTTGTCTTTTCTCTCTTGGAGAGCCCAGCGAATACAAATTGTGATTCAGAACCATATGATTGGCGAGGTTTGAAAGACTGTGATCTGGGTTGAGAATGACCACGATTTGAATAATGTCTTGACTGGGAAGGATGGTGACCAGGAGACTTGGATGGAGGATTTGATGGTTTTGTACTTCTTTGCCCAGAGTCTCTTGGTGCATGAGATGGAGAGCGTTTTCTTGTGTTCTCCCTCGGATGATCGTCATCCTTATCATCATGATTCCGCTTTTCCCCCTTTTTGGCATCATCGGCACACGTGGTAGGAGGAATGGTTGAAAGTTTATTAACTGCATTCAGAATGTCTTGAGCATATCCGAGAATTTGAAGAGGATACTGTCCCAGTTGGTATGTATTGTCTTGTGAAGTCTCTATCTTTGAGCAAGCTAAGTCAACACGCTCTTTGAGGCTGAAGTGAGAGTGCTTAAGTTCGTGCTGTTGACGAGCCACTTTGTTGACAGAGGTATGAAGTTCATGGAGTTCCTTAGCCAATTGCTTGTTGAATTGTTGGTTAGGATTAGCTTGCGGTGGGGGTTGAGATGGCTCTTGTGGTGGCGGAAGAGACTGAGCTTGGGCAGCCATCAACTGATCCACCTTCTTGGATAAGTTTTCCAGAACTTTGGTGTCCCTTTGCCGAAGGGTCAAGTATTGCTGATGTGTAATTTCGACAGCATGAACTGTATCCCTCATGAGGTTCATGACTTTTCGTGGGGACACTGGAGGAGATTCATCTTCAATATTGGTTTGTGGGGTTTCCACCTGGTCTTCTTGAAGTGGTGCATCCTTTCTGCCACCACTAGCTGAGCTAAGAAGGATTGGTGAGGCTTCCAGTTTGCCCTCAGTCCCTCACGTACAACTGCTCGAGACAGATCCTTAGGAAGATCAATTGAAATGTCTTCATCTTGTTGTGATGCTTCCCTTGTGTCATCACTGTTGGGTGATTTTTGAGCTGGAGATCTTTCGGGAACAGTGTCGTAATCAGGACCGACCAAGAGAGGAGATTCACTGTCATAGGTCGGGTCAGCCCCATTATCTCCGTCATTACCCGAATCATCATTGTCATCATCATCATCATCGTTCTCATCATCTGCATCCTCGACATCGTCAGTTTCGTCTTCATCTTCTTCATTACTCTTTTCATCTTCTTCTTCGGCCGTGTCAATCTCTTGGCCTTGCTCATCTTTCAAGCCACTGACGTTGCAGTTAGGATCATTTTGATGTTCTTTCTCCAGGATGGTTTTGACTTTAGATATCAATATGGCATATCGAACCATCTTCATTTCTTCTTCAAACGCTGGGTCCAATGGAGGTTTGTTGAGCTCAATGCAAATCGGAGCTTTATCCTTTCCGAGAGTGCGATGTGTCATTTTGTAAGAAAACACTCGTCTTATCGTTTCAAGACGTAGTGCTTCATTGAGATCCTTCGTGCCAACCCACTCTAGAGCAAACTTTTCTTCATCTTTCATGGCTTCAAAAGTTTCGATGAACGTGTCCAAGGGGGCTGTGCGCCATTTTTGCCACTGCAACACTCGGTTGTAGTCATTTTCAATAGACTCACGAAGCAGTTGATCTGGAGATGGAGGAATGGGTGCAACAACTGGTGGTGTGATCACCACTTCTGGATCAGTGATCACATTTGGGATCTCTCGATTGTCCTCAGCTACCAGTGCAGGTTATTGTGTCAGAGTATCTGGTACCTGCTCTGCAAAGGTAGGTTCTTGTGGAAGAGATGGAACTTCAGTCAATTCAGCAGCCACTTCTTTCGTCTTTGCTGGCAAGCCAGGTTCTTGTGGAAGACTTAAGTGACCGGCCTCCGTGTCCATAACAGCAGGTTCTTGTGTCGAACTTTGAATATTTCGCTCTGCTGAAATGGGTTCTTGTGGATGAAGGACTTGAGGGGAACTGTGACCAAGGTTTGGCACTTGTTGTTCAGAGGGTTTTTCTGGAGAAGTTTCTTTCGGCTGGCCTTCCCCCTGAGAAGGTGCTTCTCTCGTATCTTCTTCCCCCTGAGAGAATGCTTCTCTCGGTGTGTCGTCTTCCTTCAGGGAGAGAGTTGAGCCAAATTTCGTTTTGATAGGAGAACGAAAACGTCCCGTTTTTCCGAGGTTCGACAGAGCCAAATTGTCTTCATCAGATGAGTCTTCGACAACAATTGTGTCTGGATGAGGAATAGGTGAGGTAGGAGTTTTCTTTGCTGTGGGAGATTTTGGAGATATGGGAGTGGGTGTATTGACAACTTCCTTTTTCGACTTAACCCGAGAAG